GGTTTCTCTCTCCACTAGCAGATTTGGGTTTTCTTGCAAGAATTGTGTTTTAGAAGAGAGGAAAGGCTATTGCTATCACCATAAAAGTACTATATTCTTCTCGCAAATCGCATAAGCAGTGATTTGTCCTCCTATTCTCCTTCATGTTATTGGCAATCATGGATTCTATCCTCTATGAGTAGTCAATGGAGGTATCGCAACTATTACCAATTTTACGCACTGCCAAGTAACTTGTGTTCCCTCTTTTGGGATCCGTTGATTGCAAATATCGCATTAAAGGGTTCGGACCACACCTGAACCCTCAATAGTTCTGGTATAAAAAGGGATGCCCCATTGGGAGCGTATCCTGTTATGAGCGATATTGGTGGGCGTAAAACTGTTTGGACTCAAGTGTGCAGGACGTGCTGCATTTTGAAGGCTCATCGGCGTTGACCACAAAAATCAGTCCATTCGGGGCAGTCGTAGGCGGAAGCAACATTGTGATCGAAATGGGACTCATGACTGACCACTACGTGGCCGTTAATTCGGCATAGAAGCTTGGCTTCTCAAGCCTGATCCGTTAGATAATGTGAACCCGTTTTCAGCGGGCATTTTTGCCTTTTCTCTGTCATACGATGTCACTTGCCAAGCCCGTCAGATAATGCATGTAGGTGTCAAAAAGAAAACTTCGGCCGATGTTTAGATTAAAATTTGCAAACACTGTCTTTCTGTCTTGCCTATCTTTTAAAATCGTAAGTCCCTGGTTTAGTTCCAGTGTCAATGCTAGCCCAAAAAAAGGCAAATTCTCTTACGTATTTTATTTTGAGCGAAAGTTGCGACTTTTCTACATTTTATGCAATGCTGCTTTCAACCAAATCGGCGGCTTTGAGGCGTTATTTAGAATTCAGGAAATATCCTGGACTTTAAAGTAATGTTGAGCTTCTTAAGTAAAAAAAGGAAAATTTATGCGACGGAAGTGGCCTTATTACTTAATATTCACAAGCTTCTCTAGGCCTTGATCTAATAGAAAAGAGCGACTCTGTCGTGGTGAGCGAATTCTTTTGGGTCCTTACAATGCTTTATCTTAAGGGGAACAAAGTTTTGGAAGTTTAGGTTGTCAGCCGCCACAATCACAGAAGTGAGTGAGATCGCGAGGCCCTCCTACCATATTATGGGCTTTAAATAATCGGGGAAGAGTATGTGAAGAGATTGGTGTACAACGAAGATGGCGACTTTGTAGGTGCTACACATGACCCTCCATAAAGAGCCCCGATCTCAAGGTTAAAGTGAACACCAAAGTTTAATTGCCTTACCTCTTCTGTTTTTTCAAAATGAACTGATGCAAAAGTGAACAACGGAAATAAACTTAAGCGACTTCTCACGGCTCTTTAAAAACTTTGAATTTCTTCCACCTCTATTAGCTTGTAGATGGGATTTTTAGCAAAGTTACTGGAACTTGAATCAGAAACAAAATCAACTATGAAGGAAATTACTAAACGGTAAGAAATTGTTTTTAACGTAATGATATTGGAAATACATCATTTCCGCACTTCAAACCGCAGCGTTTCTAGTCTTTTAGAAGGGATGGCGGCTACTGGTATATCTCGGAGGCTTTGACTCCTATAGGAAGTACAGAAGTGAAGCCTTAAGTGAACGCGAAATTAAAACAAAGTCCAACACAGTGTCCCACTCCTCCTGAGTGTCGTTCCTCCCGTCGTCTGTCCCCATGAGTAACCTCTGGCGTCGGCCTTCACAAAGTAATCACCCACGAACGAACCGAGCCTGCCAACGAATTTGGGTGCAATTGAAAAAATGTTTAACTTCGACGTCACCGATCCCTCCTACCGATTCCATTAGATCAAAAATTATTTCTGGCCCAAAAATAGAGCCATTTAATAATGGGATGAAAAAAGTTTCCTGGGAATATGGTTCCGCGTCTAGTCATCCTTGTCAGCTTGTTCTCACTCCCAGTGCTGTCCAACTGGAATCTATCCAGCCAGCAATGCTATAGAGGGGAGGTACCACGTGTTCACGGAAATGACATCTTCAAGCCGGTACCGTGGAAAGATCTGTGACAAGCTTTCTTAGGTGGTTCACGGTTACGATTAGCGTCACTTCAATTTTTGACAGCATTCCTGCAGAACTCGGGACTGGGGTAGTTGACAAAAGTGGACGTCATTTTTAACCCTTCTGTTGCCGGTGGTCACGAATTCTCCCACCATCAGCATCTGCCTTTCTGTCATGTTAAGACTGAGCATGCAGCAATAGACATGACAGTAGATGTCTTTAGGATCGGTTGTCACACGCTGCTGCTACCAATGCAGCGCTCTGGGACTTCCAGAAGCATTGAGAGACTGCCAAAAAGGCCCAGAGGCCATGCCACCAAGCAGACTTATGACCTACAGAGACCTAAATGTCCGAATTATCAAAAGTGGAATTAAAAAACATCTGATTACGGAAAAACCCTAAGAATTGACTAGTTCTAATTGTTCAAATCACTGATCATTCATAAGTCGAAACCTGTCATTCGTCGGAGTTGTTATAAAGCAACTTCTCTCCTAAAAGTAATTTTTGTTAGAGTAAAGCAACTTTCTCTTCACTTTTCAAAAAGTAATGCAGGTAGTATTTTCTGTGTTGTATGTATTCTCTTGCAGTTAGCTTAAAGTTACCTAATCGGTTTAGAATTCGTAAATGCCGCTGAAGTCATAAAAAGTCCTATCGGCGTTAAAAAATGATTAATTACCGATTCATGGGAGGGCTGAGGGGTCCGTCCAATAGGGAGATCGAGACCATGGCAACTACAAGGCTTTGTAGTCTAAACACGAATTATTCTATTTTCTGCGGATTTCTTTATTTGTCTTTTCAGATCTCCTCCATTTAAGGAGAATATTAAACTTTAACGAAGTTGTCACCTCATGCCGTACATGCAACAGGGAAATTCTTCACGTACTGTATTGTTTTGCGCCCTCTTTAATCAATTTTAATTCTACTTCTACTTCTATAAGCTTGAATGTTATCCACTCTTTGTCCTGAGGCATTTGGCGATTTCCTATCCCCCTCTTGGCCAATGGTCGTTTGGATGGTAAAAAGCAGTGTTGCGTGTCTCTCGATTTGCATTTATGCGATCTTTGCCGTTTGGCCAGTGTAGTGACAAATCTAGGTGAATCTAATGCATGGTAAATAATGCGACTGGAGGGCTAAATTCGCTCACCCGATGAGTTGGTGGATTTGCTCATGGGAAAAATTTGAGTAACTTTAGGAAGCTTCTTGATAGTCTTAATTCTTGAGGTAATCGTCATTACTCCACACTGGCTCAAACTTTCTCAACCTGACATAATCTGGCTGCAAAAATCCACCTTTGCACAGCATTTTCTTTTTCTAGACGTCAAGCATAAACTCGCTCACCTTTGTTTCTACCTCTCTTTTATTTTTCAATCAGCCACCCATGTTATTTGGATATTGAGAAAGGATAAAAATGCCTTGAGCTTAGAAAAGTGACCTCAGAGGTCTTTGGAGAGTGTAGCAAGGAGGGGACATTACTGCCTCCCTACCTAAATTGAAGTGTTTCCGGGCATACTGCTTGTCCACACTCTACTCTCAAATGGCTAAGTCTGGAATTTTTGCCTCTAGGGGTAAGATGCTGTATCTGAAGAAGAATTTGCAATTTGACTATGGTAGACTGCAATGGCGATTGTGTTAATAAACTTTCTGGAGTTATAAACAACTGATTTGGCAACCTAAAAAATAAATGATTCAGGTTCTTAACTCGAGGAATGTTTGACGTTAGATTTAAACAAACAAAAATTGTTTCATACACTTTCTACTCCTTACTTGTAAATCCCATTCTACAACTGGGGTATTTGTTGAGCCCCTAATCTCCCCTAATGAAGAAAGGAGACGCAATTCTGGACCAAAATATGGAGCTGATGCACAGAAGAGCTGAGGGTCTACTGACATCTCGGAGACGGGGTCGCCCAGCGGATGTACAATGGCCAAGCCCTAAGTGCCCGCTAAACCGAAACGAAGTGTTAAATGAATAATCAAAGTGATATATAATCTTGGTTTTTGGAAAGTTCTTTTTTAAATAGACATTATTATTCACGGTAGTCTGATGTGATTGTTTTGGCAAGGGATTGCAAGCAGCTCTTGGAGCTTATTATCTGCGAACTTAACCAACTAGCCGAGGTATTTGGTTTCCGTTCAGGTGAGCATCTCGACCACAATGGGTGGACATACTCAGTGTCTCCTCTGGATGGTTATCCATCCACAGAGTACCTGATTATGGGTGAGCCAAGGAAGGCACGTTTTGCTAGGAGTTGGAGGTTTTTTGGGTACTCCTTGTCATCTTCGACCGCTTTTTAATCGCAATGGAAGAACTCTCACGGTCAATCCCACATCGGTTTGGGGTAGTACACTATCATTCCAACTCGGCATAACTTTGAGGACCATAGAATTTGCTATGTCATTTGCTGAGAAGTGCCGAAACAAATCTAAAAGCTTTATAATTGGATAATATTAAATCAATTCATGTTAAGGAGTCTCCACTCCTCTCCTAAGCCGTAACGCCATCCACCCATATGCAGAAGAGGCTCGCAGTAGGCCGAGGGGACCATGGGCACAGTCGCGGGGTCATGAGATTAAGCGTAAGTCCGGCCTGTGAAGCCTGACAAGATACAGAGTTAAACGCCGAATTAAACGAACGGGTCAAATCACCACTGTCTACTGGGTGAATCACCACTTCGTGATTCTCCACTAGGAATACATTTTATATGTCTAACGTTATCCTTAGGAACATCTGCCTAAAAGACAGCTGACATTCTGCACCCGCTTCTCTCCATTGCTTTGTGCTTATTTCGATGCCCCCCACATCTGGAAGAGATCCGTGCAACTAGAAGAGAGATCTTGGTCACTCCCCAACCCCCAATAACAATAGTTTTGCCGCTTGTATTGCCTAAAGATGCCATGGCAACCAAGGATATTTTTTGGGATTTTTTCTCCCTCAACTTCCTATTGTCAAAGGGATGGAAGAAATTCCGGAAAATAAAATGATTTATTACTTGTACTTATGGGTTATCCATAAAAAAAATTTGAAAGTTGACTGTATATTGTTTAATTGCTTAAAGCCTTTGAAGGTAGAAAAGTACAAAGAATAAATAAAAATAGCCGTTAATAAGTCATTGGATTGTTTTTGTCCAGAGGATGACCTTTTTTCTATGAGTATTGAATTCTCCAGAAGGCGAATTGCTTATTGGTGAAGAAATACCAAAGCCTCGACAATCTTTCTTGATGAGCTTATTTCGCATAGCAGTCGCCTTTAGCAGAGACAACTGCCCAAAAGTACCATGATGAATGGAAGTACCTTGCCCTCAGTTCAGAACGTGAGCCACTGTCCATATCGTCAAGTCCTTGTCTTTTCTTCAAGGGGTGCTTTTAAATGGCACAACTCTGGTCTCTTTCAGCTACTAGCTCATTATGTGGAGCCTGATATTTGAATGATCGTTTGAAATTTGGTAACCCTTCCCCTGTGGACTTCCACTGCCTCAGTCATCTGAAGGCGAAGCGACCTCAACCTTATGTCCAGTCATGGGCAGATGGAGGTTGTCGCCTTGCAAATGGACTTCTTACACCACTCTACTTCATTCCTAAGGTTGTAATTAGGCATTCCAGTGTAAAAATGCAGCAGGAATACAAGAAACAATCTTATTTTTTCACCTTCAACGATTCAACTAAGAGATCAAGGCGTAAAATAATTTAATCAATGAATTATCATCATTGCTAAAAAACTGTTCATTTACCTCATCGGCGGTCTTTTCTCTCTCTCCGCATTTTTGGTTGAGCCGCTGGGGTATTTACTTTTATGGTGGCACTAAGGCAAAAAATATTACCCATGTATAACTGATAGATTTTATGCCCCACGAAATTGTCTGCATGGATGGCGCGTTGGCGGTGGTAAAAATGTCCCGCCTCGATTTTGTCCGCACAAACGTACACAAGGCTGGGATTGCGTCCATAAATGGCCGATTTTTTGCATATTGCAGGGAAAAATTAATTTGGCTCACAAGTTTACTCAGAGTGCCTCAGTAAGTTTTCGGTGCCATTTAGACATTGTTTAGAAGTTACCAAAAAAATAATTTCTTGCATTAACGGGGAATAAATAGCTGTATTTTTTTAAAGTCGTCCCATTTTGACAATATTTTCATGAATAATTAAGCACTAGACTTTTCACTTGACTGGGGATTTATTACGATTGAATCCGAATCGCGGAAATAGCTATCCCTCCCCTCTAAATAAGATGCACTTACAGGCAAAAAGATTCCATTCCCTCCAAAAATAAAATAAGGGCCAACCTTAGGATTGGTATTTGGGTGGGAAAGAAGTGCCAGAACTAATGAGGCATGTAATATCACTGCCCTAGCATGTTTTACGCCTCTCAAGTCATAGGTATGAAGAGTTTGTGTTGAATGCAGAGGGAGAAAAAGGGAAAGTATGTACGTATCATTTACATAATCAGATGATGGGGGCTATAATTAGTAGTCTTGAATACCAGGTACACAGATTTGACAAGGCTTAATTACCTGGAATGTGGCTAAAAATACAACTTATGGTAATGGTTAAAACGAGGCCTTCTCCCGCATTTCAAATAGATAGTTGGAATAATTAATGAGCACGGCATCAGCATCAGCAATGAATCTTCGGCCAAACTACTTCGCTGCATCAATAACGGTGACAAGCCATCCGATCCAATAAACGGCGATTCTGACCGTCTTTGGCTGATTAGCGATACTTAATGTCACAGAAGGAAAATGGTGAAGTCTGCGGAGACTCAGAGTGCAAGAGTTACCAAAGTCACGTCCACTTTTAACAGTCATTTTGAAATCTTAGAACTCTTCAATTAACGAGTAGTGAAACGAGATCACAAGTTAAAGCCATCGCTTTAACAAAAGTATTTGACATTCGATGTATCTGTATTCATCCTTTAAAAATGAATCTCCCTCTCTCTCTGCAAATTGTCTAACAGAAGTGCGAAGCTAAGTAGGCAGCGTGTCTCCATTTGAAATAAGGCAACTTTTTACTGCAACACAAAGTCTTCACTCCTCCTTTGAGGTTTGATTCCATTTGACAGGAATGACCGTAGCAGATCAAAAAGGAGAGTGGCCATGGGAAATGGACATTTATGCCCAACATAATCGCAATCTTGGTGTCATAGCGCTCCGATCTTGCTCGGAGACGCTTAGAAACCTCCAGACCCCTTCCTCTCCACAGGTATGCATAGATTAAGCTTCAGGTTTCACTCAAGATTCTACAATTGGATTAAAGAAGAAGCTTCTAGGTTTTGGAGGAATACTGAGTTGGCATTCACAGCATATTCACATTCTAAGTAAAATAATGTCAAATTCATCTTTCAGATTTTGGTACAATAAAGTGACTATTTGCGGTGGTTCTGTAACCACCAAATTTTTGCTTAGTTGGATGCAACTTTGTCACCCATCCCCGCGTTCAGAGGGAAATATCACCCATGTAAAATTTCTATTTTGATTGTTTATGCTTCCGGGCCGAATTTTATCAGGTCATGGTAAAAGGTCACCACTACCTTAGGCAAATGTTCTGGCCTTCTGCTGCCTATTTTAATAGAATTGGAATGATATGTGTAAAAATCCCAACTTCTACTTGTTTATCCTTGACCAAGCAAAACAGAACGGCCAATCTAAACTTCAAGTAAGAGCATTTATACTGTGAAAACGCTAACAACAGTTTTTTTAATGAGGTTCGTTTGTGTTAGAGAATTTGGCATCTGAAGTGAGTTGGCTCCGGCTAAAGCTAAAGAGAAGTTTATGAAGTAAAAGCAGCAACTGCACAAACTTTACAGAGCATCTGTAGCGCTATGAGGCTCCCTGAAAGCGAAATAAGCCATGATTCTCCCGCAGAATATGTACTGCTGACCTACAGCTAAAGCTTGGGGCTACTGACATGGTCCGCAGACCAGCACACCTGGTGAAGATGCAATATCGGAGCCCCTAAGTTACCCGATAGCAAAACCGAGAGTTAAGCAGTTAACGTATTGCATAGCCTATCTTCTCTTTTGAGCACCGTCTCGAACGCTCGCCTTAATCTCCCTCTGGCGTCAGGCATCACAGCATAGTCAATGCCATGAGAAAAATACCCACCCACCAACCAACTGTGCCAGTCACTGGATTTGCGTGCAACTGAGAAGATAGTTGAAGGACGCGTCGCTGATCCCGGATCTAGGGTTTTGGTCTTGCTCGAAAACTGTATTGGGGAAGGCGGAATGTACACGCCATCTCCTGTGTCCATCGCTAGTTGTGACAATACTGCCATAAAAGCGGTCATTTAAAAAGGGACGAGTTAGGACTCCTTGAGGATAATATTTCTTGGTTTTTCCTCCTTGTTTCTTTGTCCATACTATAGCACTGTCAAGCCATGTACCTCTTTGGGTTCTATCCAAAGAGAAGAGAGGTGAAGGAAATACTGCGTGTTTATTTTATTTACTTCTTCATAGGGGCACAGTAGGCGCCTCCATAATGAACATTTCCAGATGGTTCACAGCTCAAATCGCTTTAAATGTTGATAGCATTCCTTTAGAACAGGGGACTCAAGAAGATTTCAAAAGTCACTACAAGTTCTCCCAACCTCAGCCTAAGCCCCTCTTCGGCCGCGTTAAGGTTTGGCGCCCAGTGGTACAAAACAGTGTAGTTTTCCTTTAGGATTTGGTTTGCACAGCGCTGTCAATTATGTGGTGTCAAAAGTCTTTCCTGAAGAGGAAAGAAGTAATCAAAACTGGGGCCGAATAGGTGTTGCCGGAAAGAGGATAATGTCATGGCTCAAGAACCAGTCAATCTGGTGATGGTACAATGGCGGAACTTCTAAGTGGCTTGTTATCAAAATTAGGCGTGTAACAAACAATCAACGCAATACACATCCTAGTTACTATGGGCGTATTTATGAAGCTCACAGATGGACATTAGTTTCCAAACATTATTGAAAAGAGTTAACTGCCTCCTGCTTTACGGTCAGTTTCACCTGTATTTAAGTTGTCGGAAAGTGAAGAATTTGGAGCGGTTTGTAAACTGCATGTGATTACTTAACCGAGTGCCTAATAGAGGATGGACGGATATGTGTCATTCCACTAGTAGGATGTATTCTATGCTTTGCTATCCACTGTCTTCCTGGTGGTGAGGAAATTTATGACATAGTTGACTGAAATCCCTCAAAGGGAACGTATTAAAGAATTTCAAGGATGCTTGATGTGAGTGCTTTAATCAGCCGAAAAGTGGAACACCCAGAAGGTACAAGAACGATGGATCTTATCCGCGAGGCACTCACTAACAGAAGGCTGAGACTGAGATCCGCTTCCTCGAATAAAAACTATATGAGATCCAAGGAGATCTTTGCCCTCAGAAACAACCAGGAATAGTAAGTCCTGGAAAAATGTTCCCTTTGGGATTGCATGGCAGTGCCGCCCCATCTCATCCTGCGTATTTTTTCTTGATATTTTCCGAGCGATGGTTACACCTTTGCCTAGCGTCAGCATTGGGCAATCTCATGCAAAAATGAGAGGGGGAAAAGATAAAAGTTTCCTCAAAAAGGGGGAGGCTTGGGCTGGATTTTCGCTTGGCGTCTGGAATGAAGAAATTTTTTGTCCGTGAAATTTGGTATCTCGTTGCGATGGAGATTATTTCAGTAAAAAAATATTCTAATAACCACTCCACTTTTTTTAGTCTTTTAATATATAACTGCAAGGATGAATTAAGTTACCTTAGAGAGGAAGAATTCAAACAATGGTGGACAGTTATTTAGTAATTAAGTGTGAGACGGTTTTTCCGTGCAATCTGACTACTGACCGGTTATTAAGATAACAAAGTGTAATTTGATTGGTTTGATTTTTTGCACCTCTTTCCCGTTTTTAGTATTTTTTTCTTAAAAAGTAATACAACCTTCAGCACAATAAATGGTTTATAACAGAAGATGCTTTTAATCAGAGAATGCATGTACAGAAAATGTCAAAATTTTAGCAAAAGGCCTTCTGTATCGCATCGAATTTGCTTTGTAATGCAGCACCCCGAGACATTTCTGAAGACGAAATGCGTAATACTAGGTAGAATATATTGCCGAAGTACGAAAGGTCATGGGGAGGGGGGCTACTGACACAGCCCAGACGCCATACCGCCCATTGGGTTTACGATGGTCGGGCCTTCATTCTCTCCGAAACCAAAACGAAGACAAACAAATGACTACAGCATTGTACGGTCTCTCTTCCCTTTTGAACGTCGTCCCCAGCGCTCTCCTTGGTAAAACTACCACGTCGACCATCACATCACAGTCCGTGCTCCATGGACAAACACCCACGAGCCAGCTGCGCCAGTCATCGAATTTGCGTGCAACTGAGGTGTCTCACCACCACACCAGTGATCCCTCTTGGCAATTTCACAGGATCTGGAGTTTCATCTTTTTTGGGAACCGTATCGGATGATGGGAGAATGTGCAAGCTACCGAGTATGTCTATCACTAGTCGTAGTAATAATGGTCCAAAAGCATTCATTTAGTAAAGAACGGGATGTAAAGTAAGCTTGTGGGTCAGGGTTCCGCACCTATCGATCCCTCCCATTTTTTTCTCACTTCAGTGCTGCTCATCCATTTTTATCTGTCTCGGTTCTATCCAGCTAGTAGAGAAGTAAAGGAAGTTCCGTGAGTTCGTTCAATTAACCTCTTCCCACCAGTACCGTTGACAGCCCCGTAATGAAATTTCGAGAAAGGTCACAAGTTTTGATAAAGAGGTCTTACTTATCGCATCCACTATAATCTGCAAATTCAGCAATGAATGATTGAAAGGTATGGAAACCTCGATTGAAAGACATTCAAGAGGCAAAGAGTGGGCAAAGTGCGAGGCAGTTCAATCATAGTAGGTAATGAAGGAGTTACACCACCGAAAACGCGAAGATAATTTGCCAGAAATATATCACTTGGGAAATTCTCGATGCACATTCGAAGGACAAGACCGCATCTGGAAAAGAGAGGGCCTTAAAATGTCATTCCTGTCATTTTCATGGGAAGAAGAAAGTAGCAGTGGATCTTCACGATGGGTCCAAAAAAACAAAGAATGCACACACCCACACACACGGAGAGTTGGAAGAAATGGGTACATTTGCATCTTGATTGGTTGCTAGTTCCAAAACAGATAAATCTGCCACATCATTCTTGAAGGCAAACTTCTAAAATTTTCCCTTTTTTGTAAAGGACTATAATATTTTTTAAATTTACTGCAACCTAAACCGTTCACAAGGTAGGGACGGGCCATTACACAACTTTAATGAGGGACGGAGGCGGATGCGAATCTGCCTCTAGGGAACTCGGAAATGTTTGTAGTTATTAAAAGAAATATAGTTGGTGGAATTTCAGCTTCTAGGTGTAGCAAAAACACTTTATATGACCGGAGTTTGCCACGATTTTTTCGGTAAATTTTGTCACATGACCTAGAAAGCGCTATCCCCGGATTTGTTTATCTGACATTTGTGTAACAGAGCGGGGTTAGTTTAGCTAAACAACACTTCAAGCTGCGTGATTTCGGTGCCGAAAAGGAAGCTCTGTCTAACTCTTAAATTCTTCAGAATTAAAAGTTCCTACAGATTACTATTAACGCATGGACGGCGCAAACAGACTGAAATTTCGAATCAGTGAATTATCAAAGCACCGTTTCAAAAGAGGGCGCGAATTTGTGATCGAAAATTTTTGCAAAAGCCGACTTTTGTCATTCTTTCTTAGACTACGTTTTATAACTGATAGGGAAGAATAGCAACTGGGAGGGTTTTGGAACGATGTCTGTTGCGACATCACGCTCAGCAATGTGGGTTCCTCGGTCTTGATAATTTCTTTCGAAATCTTGGAGGACTTATTCATTCTGCAATTCATGAATCCCAGGCTCTGTTACTAAAAATTTTGCAAAACCCATTTAATGGCAGCAGCATTGTCTTCTTGTTTAAAAACAGAATGAGTATCACTTTACATTGTGGCGCCTTGAGACTGTTAGAAGAGTTTGGGGGCTACTGACATGGCTAGAAGGCCATGCCACCCAAAGAAAGTACAATCAGCGGAGGATTGAATGGCTGCGTAATCAGAGGCAAGTTAAACAAACTATCAAAGCATCACGTAGCCCCTCAAATCTTTTGGGCGTCTTTTCCAGCGTTCCCCTTGGTCAAGCTACCACTTCGCTTGCGAGCCAATGGTGCCAGCCAATGAAAATGTGGTCAACTGAGAGGATATTTCACCACAACGTCACTGATCCCCTCGGTAATCCCACTGGATCTGGAGTTACGGCCTATTTTGAAACTCCATTCGAGAAAGAGGAGAATGTACTGGCTATCACGAGCGTCCATAGCTAGAAGTAAGAACACTGGTTCAAAAGCAGAATCGTTTAGTAAGGGACGGAGTTTCGAGTATTTTTGTGTGGATAAGTCTTGGCGTCTGCTCCACTTTCCCTTTTTTCACTTCAGTGCTACCCAGCCAACTGTCCATCAGGGTTCCATGGAGCTATTTAAGAGGCGGAGGAGGGGGCATCACGTATTCATTTAATTGACACCTTTGCACAACTAACGTAGGCAGCTCCGTAATAAACTTTTCAGATATTCCACTCCACGAATAGTGCTGCTTCAGTTGGTAATAGCATTCCTGCAAAACAAGAGACTAGGGTAGTCGCCGAAGGCAGACGTCGCTTTTGAACGTTCTTTAGGAATTATTACTGATTTGTCCATCCACAGCGTATGCCCTCCTTCTTCCTTAGAACTGAGAATCACAGCAGTGGTCCTTTAGGATGAGGTTCACTTTACCCTGTCACCAATGTAGCGCCCCGAGTCTTTCAGAAGAGTAAAGGAACCTCTGGCGTGGTCCAGAGGCCATGCCCATTGTGGAAGTACAATCTTCAGAGAATAAAATGTTTTACGTAATTAAATTTTGAGTTAAACAAACAACCAAAGTATTGAATTATTTTAAAGTAACTAAAGCATCAACCGTTTATTCTTTATGAGTGGATTACCTTCCTACCTATTTAAGTGGTTTAAAACATAATCACGCAAATGAGGTTTAAGTCCTCCGTATTCTCTGAAAAAGGTATACTTAAATAACTGGAAATTTCTCCTTCAAGTCTGGCATCAATGATGAGTGAGAGCGATTCTGTATAAAACAGGTGTTGAGCGAATTCTCAGGAATATAAAATTGGAGCTGCGTAACATTGCGGCTATCCCCTAGCACACAGGTAAAAGTACTTTCTCACAAAAGTCATCAACAATACTCAGGCTTATTTTGCCTGCACTTCCGAACTTTCCCCTTCCTTTGGTGCACTGCCAAGGAGGTGATGTCTCAAAAACAGACCCAGAAAACATTTTTTTCTTTTCATGTCATGCAAAACTCATTAGGCCTTTTACATGGTACGCTGGTAGCTAAACATTTTAGCAATTTGTAGGTGCTGTGATAAGAGTTGAGTTAACACATTTTGGTGAAAGAGTTTTTATTAAAAATAATAAGTGGCTCTAAAGAATCAAACAAGCAAGTAGGAAGTTTAAAAAGTCACTTAATTTTACTCGCCAAAATTAATTTGGTGAAAAAGCCACCGTTTTCAAGTAGTGCATCCCCAGGAAGAAAAAACGACAAACGGCGGAGAGATTTATCAACAAAGGATGTAATAAATAAATAAATATAGTAATATTTCGACATTCCAATAACTTATTCGACAAAGTTAGATTAGCAGTGACCTTCATAATTCCTTGCCCAAAATCATCTGGTTACGGCGCACATTTGAATAGCACTCCATGGGCTATGTAAAATAGAAAAAGTTTTCGAAGGCCATTAATGACTTTTTGCTAAAATTTTTAAATTCTGGAGATAGCAAAAATAAAATACTGACAGTCTTGGCATCTAAGAAGTGGCTGTCAAACAGTAGATATAAATTGATCAGTCCGCCTAATTTGGACGTAGTCCCAGCAGGGTTGATTCTCCTTCCTGCATACAATTATGACAAGTTAGAAAAGTTTGACTGGGTTTTGTATCATGCTTTTCTGATGGCTTGGAAAATGAATGCAAGTGATTATTTTGTCTTTAAAAATTGCCTGCTAATAGGGGCAAATCTGGGATTCTCAAGGGGGTTTTTCTCAGTAATCATTCGCCAACACATTTTAAATCTGTATTTATTCTACCAAGATGATTTGATTTAGTCATTTTAGGAGAAGAATTATTTATTGGCTTCAAGGAATATACTTTGTCAAATTGGTATCTTTGAAGATTTTTGCTCTGAAAACGAACTAATCACACTGATGGCGGGTGGTTCATTTTCTTATCAACTTTTGCGGTAGAAACGGTGGCCTAAAACTAGTCAAAGATGAGTGAAAAATCCCTTTGATGATGAGATCAGATACTTCCTAATCAAAATCCATGTCATACAAATGCAAAAAGGGCTTCCGAACCCCAAAAAAAGAAGTCTTAAAACGAACAGAGTAAAAAGTTCGGTGATCGTGTCCCTTCTCTGGCACATGTCAAACCTTAATTCCCTGCGGGTTAGTAAAAATTTTCGGTTTTTAGGTGACTAATGTTTTAGTAGCAGATTTGACGGCTGCGCAGCTATGAGAAATAGACCCTTAAAACGGCTATTGCTAGAATCTTTGATGCAAACAAATCACTGCGACTTGGTGTCAGTTTCATTTCCCTCATCCAACATCGACCACTGTTAATATTTTTGACAGTTTCGTCTTTTCAGATTCATAATACTCAATCAGTGCGTTGTTATTATAAACAATGCAAATTTATTTGCGGAA